TCAAAACAAACACATGTGTTTGACGCATGTTAAGCATACTTTGGTATAAATTTGCATGCAGAGTAATCAAAATTAAAAGAAAAAAGAAAATTTGAAGACCAACATCCAATCCAATCCAATTTGAAGATCCATTACATCCAATAATGGGAATGGGAATGGTTTAACAAAACATTATAATAAAGTGTCTCTGATCGCCTCAATATTGGCCACGCATTTAGAGCAGGAGTTTTGTCAGATCGTTAGATTACTTTTCAGAGTGTATCAAGTCAAAACTGTTTGATAAAATTTTAAAAATTAAAAAAGAAAGTTATATTTATGGTGTTCCTTGGCGAGTTCAGCTCGGCTTTATTGGAAAACATGTTATTAAATTGGGTTTTTCAAAAATGTTAACTGTTGTCATCTGTTCAAATAAGTTTCATCGAGTTGATAACGCCATTTGACACAACAAAAGTTCCAGAGGTACATAATATACAAATTTTAAAGATGATTCTTGGTTGATATTTAAAAGCTAAACGTCTACATTTTCATTTTTGTTTTCTAAAACCACTGCACTCTAGCATATCGCACAGTGAGCCAGCAGCAACATTCGCAATCTCCAAAACTGGTTTCAAAGATGCAAGACAAACAAATGAAATAGAAAAGGAATTCTGGCATGCAAATGTGAAAAAGAAACGAAAGGTTTGGCACTTAAAATAACAATAAAAAGTGGAAATGGCATGTAGCGATCACAATCGACGAGGGAACAAACAACTTCTTGGGTTGACCTGTGCAATTGGTACACTGCCAAGTGCAATTTCGCCAAGCAAACGCTAAGAAAACAAGTTTGAGTCGTAAAATAAAAGTAAAAGCAAACGTAGAATGCTAAACAAATACCACACACGGTCTATATATGTATATGAGGTCCGACGCCTAATTTGAAAAAAATTTTAATATTTCTTAAAATTATTTATAAGGCAGTAGATGTACTATAGTGCGCAATTTATCGACTGACTAATAGGGCAAAAGTTCTAAGACGTTGTGTAAGCGGGCGCAATTTGTTGACTTAAAAAATTATTGCAAATATAAACATTTAGCCACACTTTAGACCTTAGAGCTGTTACGGCCTAAGGCAAGACGAGTATAAATAATGAGCGCCACAATAAACGCTTGGAAACACTTGCCTTGGCACTATACAATGACTTCCAATTAAACAAACAATGTGAGACATACAAATAATAAATATGTGCGTGTATGTATGTGTTTGTTTAACTATACTTTTATAAAGTGCTCAAATTGCTAATCTAAAGTATGTACACACACATTTCGCTTGCACTGTAGCTGCGCCACTTTAAACATTGACATGCAACTCAAGGAGGATTCACACGTTCTAGACTTATGCCAAGTGCGAGTGCGACTACTTAAAGTGCATAGATATTCCATAACTCGCATTCAACTATTTACACAGCCATACAAACAGATATAAATACATACATACATAGAATGCATAGAAAGAATTGTGCACAATTTGCGGCTAATTAGTGTTAATGTGACTCCCACACCCACAATGGCGGCACGAGAACTCCACTCTGGAGATTGCGTAACTTTGAATACATTTTCAGAAATGCATGAAGTGCTTGTTGACATGCAGTTTCTTGGGAGCTTCAACTTTGAAATTAACTTGCAACTTATAGTTTATCGAAGCCGTTATGAATAGATTTGAAAAGCTTAAGGATGAGATGAACGCTATTTTTTTGAAACTAAGAAATAACAGGTATTTAAACTGCAAAAAAATTTAAAAATTTACGACAACATAAATTTAAAAAAAATTATCGTTTGCATTTTAAATGTTGTTATCGACCTTCCATTAGCATCGAACTTTATTTTCTAAAGTTTTTTAATAAAATTATCGATTCTATTTTTAGAGCGCTTTTTCATCTAATTATTAAATATTTTAAATTGCTGATCTATTAATAGCATTTATATACCAATAATTTTTTATGTGTTTGATGAATTTTCGATTTTTAAGTTCGATAAGATTTTGTGTTATCTTTTTCTAAAAATTGTTCATGAAGGCTTATCTATTAAAAAATTTAATAGTAATTTTATCGATTATATTTTATAAGCATTATCGTACTTGCACTTTTATCGACTTTTATAAGTTTTTAGTTTTATCATTTTCTTATTCATTTTATAAGTAATACTTACTTACACTTAAAATAGTTATTGATTTTTCTGAGCTTTTTAGATATGAATCCGATTTCTGATTTTTCAATAGTTTTTGGATTCGACAACTATCGATTAATAAAATCGATAAACGAGATTGTTATTTTTAATTTAATTAAATTATTTTTTTAACAACAAAAAAAACTTTGAAATATATTATTAAATATTATAAAACAATTAAGTCAGCGTACAAAATTAAAGAAACTGTCGTGAAAATAGGGTAAAAATTTACAGGACAATTAAATTGGTGGAAAGCCTCGATCACACCATTTTATCGTTAAACTGGAGCACTAAGGCGCTATTCTTTCGGGACATGCTAGTTTTTTACATACATATTTAAATATAAGAGATATATTCACAATATTCACAGGACTTTTACTATTCTTATTATTTACAAGCACCGCTTTCTCCTACCTACTGACCGCGATTATTATAGTATAATTTCTCAATTTTTTTGTGTCACAACAGTAAGTGGCTGTGCGTTTGAATTACTTAACATGCTTTTTGCAACATCTTTATCCCTTCCTCGCTGCGTTGCCATACTGGTGGAATGCTGCTTGTGTCACATGGCACGTATACACATGCATTCTGCTATATAGAGCTACATGCCGCATGGACTCTGTCACCTGCATGCATGTCACCATGCAACATGCCTACGAGCATAATTTAAGTCCTTGATTACAGACCCAGAACATCTGCCTTTGTTAACTCCAACCGAACGAGTACACATGTACCTGAGTGTATATGCACATATGATAAAAGCAACGTAAGACCGGCAGGAAGTATCCTCTTCTCGGTGTATTGTTGTCCTGCATTATGCGGTTGCAAATAAGAGCACTTTACAAAAGTGAAAGGAAATGCAAGACAAGTGCATACATCCTTTTTATTGCATGAGAGCGCGGTGTAGAAGTTGGAGAGGAAGATGTAAGGCAAGGAAATAATGCAGCACAAAATTTAACGGCATAATGAAAGCTTACTATTGTATAATTGGATAAAAATTTAGAAATTAAGATAATCATAATGTGATAACATAAAAGTAGCCTTCGACTTGCCACTTCTCTGCTTGTTGCTATTCCTGTATGCCTGTATAAGCTCTGCCTTCTTCTAAAAAAAATTGATGCGTGCAAACAACACGAAAATTATTCTAATGAATTCAATATAAGAGAGTATGTGTGGTATGCTGCACTGAATTAGTACGATATAGCCGAGGTCTAATCTATGTGACTTATGCAATCTGTTTGTTCGATTCGGCACTCTCTAAAGTTTTGTGATTCTAACTGAGGTATGAACGGCACTGAGTCTAATTAAAAGGAATTCTTCTTAGATCTTACTGGCATCGTTGGAATATGGAAGCATCAATGAAAACCATTTTATAAGGGTATTTGGGCCTAAAAAAAACGGAAAGAGCGATTGGTTCCAAAATCATTAAATATTTTCGAAAAACAGCGTCGCTTTAACAACTGTGAAACAGTGCTTTCCGATTACCAGGATGTCATGAAATTATATTATTACTGGCGAAGAGTGTTGGATCTATGCTTACGTCTCGGAAACAGATGATCAATCGACCGAATATTGTGGCAAATGTGAGTCGAAGCCGAAAAAATCACTCCAAAAATCAAGGTTATGTTGACAGTTTTCTTCGATTATCGATGTGATTCACTCTGAATTCCTTCCTACCGGCCAAACTCCCAACGAGGAATACTATTTAAGAATTATGCGTCGTTTGCGCCCAGCTATGCGTAAAAAGAGGTCGGAATTATGGAGACAACACTTGCTTTTTGCACCATCATAATGCAACGCCACATACTGCTTTGATTCTTCGTGAGTATTTCACCAAATTTTCAACCAATATCGCGCCGCATCCACCGTATTCGCCTGATTTAGCTCCGTGTGAAATTCAGTATTAGTAATAAATAATGATAAAATCTGACGTGAGCGGGAGTTGTTAAGGAAAATCTTGGAATTACAAGTAAAAACCATTAAAAGAAGACAAAAAATATGTTATATTTAAAACACTGATATATTCGTATAAATTAATAATACCGATATCGCGAAAAAATTAAAATAGAAATCAGGTTTAAAAAAATATTATATAAACTAAATACTGGTAAATTGTTAAATAAAATTGGTAGTCTTAAATTAAAGAAGTTAAAAATTGTGAAATAAAAAGTGATTTAGTTCAAAATATAAAATATTATGGCAGACAAGAAATAAAGTGCCTGAAAATGCAGGTTTTTAATTAACGAGTAATTAGACACGTACATTTTATTAGGCTACCTGATTTCAAAGATGAGTCAGAGCAGGTGTTAAAATGACTTTGAAAATAAAAACTTTATGAATGTACACATAAGTTCTCTGAGACCTTAAAAAAGTCTAATATATGGTATTTACAAAAAACGAAAACAAAATCTCTGAATCATCAAAGGCAATGGAATAGCTATGAAATTAATATATGCAAATGAATGTGAAATTTCAAACGAGCAACAGCATACGAATAAGAAATCGTAAAACTAAGCACTGTTAAAACAGAATTAAAAAAAGTGAAATAAATTTGTCTACAGAAATTTTATGAGTTGGAATTTTGGAATACAGAATTGCTTACAGATGAAAGAATAAAGCGAAAAATATATATGTAGCAAAGCCAAAATAGAGCAAATAATCAAAATCATTATTATGTTCCAAGCTGGAATATGGAACTGGCATGAACAAAGCAACAAAGACATGTGTGTATTACACTGTTGTCTACGAATTATTTGCGCTAATATTTACGAAAATCGCTGATTAAACAGATTGCAGACGGAAATTAGAGCGGATCATTGACGTCAATTTCGTGAGAGCAAAGTAAACACGATGCGAGTACTGCCTATAAATAAAGGAAACAATAGTAGAATTTTTTTTTTTCGAAAATCTCTACTAAATGAGACATTGCAATGTGGAAAAAGACGCGAAATCAGACGGGCAAATAAGTGGAACGGTATTTTATTTTTTACTGATGTTCCTCGACAGTTAATGTGAAATACTCCTGTGAGTTACGATGAAAATATTGTTCACAATAAAATTATGTTAATAAATAATAAAAAAAAAATCAGAAAAGTTTATTATTTATTAACCTCGGATGCACCGAAGCTATTACAACTTTTACTGGTGCATTTCTTATTTGTTTTAACTTTGAGTGAAATTGTGATCTTTGATTGAATTTGAACAATTTACTCGGCGATTGTATCTTGGACAATAATACTTTCCAAATTCACGTAGAAATCTTGTCAAACACAAAATGTTTCCATGTATGCATTTCGTTTTTATCGTTCAGTTTATATGACAACATATAGTTGTAGTGATCCGATCTGAACAATATGCTCGGAGTTTATAGTGTTGCTTTGGACAATAATCTGTGTCGATTTTCTTGAAGATCTTGTATCAAATAAAAAACAAATTAAAAAAATGTTCCATACAACCACTTGATTTTAATCGATTAGTTTGTGTGGTAGCTATTTACTAAAGTGGTCCGATATGGGTGGTTTCGACAAATGAGCAGCCTTTGGCCAGAAAAGAACGTGTGGGAAATTTCATATTGATATCTCAAAAAATATGTATTCAAAAACTACATTTTCTAATGACCGCCAGCAAGGTCGCCAGTTGGTCAATACTATTAAATGAAAAAAATAAAAATTGTAAATATCTTGTTACACTATAAACGACTTATATGAAATTGCTGCTAATTAAATGTGTCTCCTTTTCATTTCTGTCTGTCAAAGTCGGCGTTGGCGCTAAAACGTGATCTTAGCTCAATTTACTTGTAAATAAAACGGCGAGTGCACCCATGACGGCAATGTACCGCGAAGCATAAACGGAGTCAGCTTACAAATAACGAGATTTTTTTAATTTATATTGTTTATATGTAAATGTAGAGTAAGCCAGAGCAACGGCGACAAGAGTTTACCACCAGCAATCTTTGTGTATAAATGTAATTAGCGCAGTAATAATTGGTTGTAAAAATAGTAGAAGTAAAATAAAATGAAAAATGACTCAAAAGTGCTGTAAAAAATTGAACGGAGGTTCAAAAAACAATAGCATAGAAAATAGGAAGGAGTTGGTATATGTAGTATGATATATGTAAACATAACCTCAAGCTGTAAAAAAAGTAAAGTAGTAACACAATCGTTTTGAACACGTTTACTTATGTCATTTGGAGTTTTTAACTAAAGGAGGTGAATTTGTTAAAAAAATATATATAAACGTATATATTTACACTTGTATAGAAAGGTCAGCGCTAATTTATCTAATTTATAGACTTATTTCCACTCGAATAATTTGTTAGTCTTTTATTAGAAATTTCAATAAGCCATTTATATAATTTCTGAAATATTTACGTCCATAACTTTGGGTAAAATTCAATATTATTTACAAACGTTGCCACTTTTTAATTATATAACTTTTTTTTGATCGTTTGGATAATATTTTTTAGAGATTTTGAAAAAAATTTTACAAAAACACCCAAAAACTTTGTTATTTATTTTATTTTTAAGAATTTTGACGTTATGTAGCAGTCTTCATACAAAAGTTTTAGATTTTTTCATTACATGCGACATTGCCATATCATTTTTTCTATAGGTCTCGGAGTGTTGTCGAAAATCGAGATCAAATGTTTTTAATCCTTAAAAATTCAGTCACGCCCCATCTTCTATCTCTTCCCGATCTCGGCTTGCCCGTACATTATTTTTCCAATATTATTTTAAATTTTATTTTTCGTTTCCGATGGGTTTCCACCCCGTATAATTTTCTTGTTTCATAAATTATCAACCTTGATGTATTTATGGATTTTTTATAGCGAATTTTACAGAATATTTCTTGAAAGATTTTGGTCTGTTATATCTTCAAATTTGTCAATAAAGTTTTCTGTAAAATAAGGTTTCATATAATAAATTTTCGAAAACAAGATTGTCGACCTTTCAACCGACCGTTCTTGTTTCCACGACAGTCGGGTCTAAGCAAACTGAACGGACCCGGATTTTTATCCGGCCAAGGATTGCCAACTCGGCACTATTTCTCCAATTTTTTCTCATGAATATTTTTTGGCATTATATGTTGTTGTTATTCAACTACCAGATAGTTCCTAATAATACCTCAAAACACTGACACAACAAAAAATACACAAATATGTAAATAATGTTTTTAGTATATTTTTCTGCTTAATTTAAAATTGGCGAATCACCTTATTTGACTTACTAATCAAAGCAACCGGCATAATAATCTAAGCTGCCTCAGTTCATCAAATAATGTGCTATGTATTATACATATGTACATATATATATACAATTTTATTCGCATGATGTATAAATAACAAAATAGAAAAAATCATACAATAAACCTGGAATGTGCTAAAATTTCACAGAATTTTGGAATTTTGTTTTAGAAAAGCAAGTGAAATGTGTTAAGGCTGCTGAGTAATCTTAAATAAATATGAAAGCAGATAAGGTTTAAGTCGTTGGCTCAGCAAAAATAACGCGTAAATTGATAAGATATTATGTGAAAGTATGCCAAATAAGAAGGCATAAATTTGTTGTTGCGAATGGTATAGTTTTGTTCATTGAGATCAGATATGAAATGCCAATGTATGTATGTACATATTGCATAACTAATTAATTTTATAAGTGCACATACTGTTTTAAATGTTTGCAAATCAAAAATACGAAAAAAAAAATTTGAGAATGTTTCCAACTTTTATCGCTCCAGTTCTTCTTTGACACCGACATTTCATACCAAACCCTCTATAACATACAAAAGCTATGCCCCACAGTTAAAAAAAAATGTAAACATACGTACGTATTTAACCCCAGATAATAAAATATACCAAAAAATATTATTATACATTAGGTGTTCGAGTACTTGGCTACAAGTACTATCCTTATATGTACGTAAGTACATATCTGCCTACACAAATATGCACTTTTTTAGTCATTCACTGGATTTGTTGAGCAGGTAAACAACATTTATATAACAAAAATTAAAGAAGAGTAGAGTGATGCATAACAAGAATAATAAGCAAATATTAGTTTTAAGACGCAACCATGGCGCTTTAAGTGATTGCGAGGGTTGGTGCCTTGTCGAGATAAGCTTAAGTCAGCATAATACTTTAAGATAGATACGCATACAAGCGCTATAGAGTCAACAATGCACAATTCTACAAACACATATACATATTCGTGAGCATACTGATGATAAAACGCTTGAACGACATAAACAAAGGGAAGAAATAGGAAACGATCTGAGCTCTAGTACAAAATCCATAATGAGTAGAAATGTACATTCGTAAGCCCATATATAGTACAAACAATATTTATGTATGCATGTGTATACATATGAGGGCGAATATAGTGCTTCTGTCGCAAACTTCAGTTGTTATCGTCACTGCAGTGTTTTATTTCCTTCATAGCAATTTATTATTATTGTGAATATTTATTTATTTAATAAACTTTTTTGACCGACACGCTTTTGATGAGTTGTAATTAAATGCAATTAGGACGGAAGTTAACTCTTTGTTGCATGCTGCTTAAATGGCGATGTTACTTCAAACAAATTTGTTTGTGATAGTGTCGGAATTGTTGCTGTAAAAGTGTAAAATATTGTTGTTATTGTAGCGTCATTACCAAAATATTTTTGCAGTTGGCGAGGTGACTACCCAAAAAAAACAAAAATTACAAAATATTTTGATTGGAAAAATAGCACGGTGTTTCCCGTTTAGATGTGTGTTTTAATCACTTATTTAATACATGTCACTTGTTTTTTTATTTTTATCAAATCACGCTGTAAAATTTAACATTAATTTTTCAAACGGAAATTGCAATAAACAAATTTTCAAACAATAAAAAATGTACGCCGCCACAAAATTAACTGTAAACCTGCAGTTAAACACATATTTTCATACTTCAAATAATAATATAGTAACATAAAACAAAAAAAAAAAAAACATTTAAACAAACAAAAAAAAAATACCAAAGCAGTTGCGCTGAGAACGTTGAATCAATTACATGCCATGATCATATGCACGATTTGACTATTATTACTCATAAAAAATTATGTAAATTTTGTGGTAAACGGAAAAGCGCATACGTAAGAAATATGCGTAAGCTTTATTTAAACTGCAAGCAACACACATATAAACATTGAGGTAGAGAATACGCCAGCGTGTCTGGCTGCCGGCTACAATAATCATGATTACAGTAATAGGTACACATATTTACACAAACTTACAAATACACATATGAACAGATGAAGATGTGAACAAGAAGTGACTGGAGGCAAAGTCACTAACTGGCAGACTAGCCAGTTAGACATTCAGCAAAGGCGTCATGTCAATACTGACACGATCTGCGGTTAATTCATAAATTATTAAACAGTCTCTCCAAGACGAGGAAGTGCACACAATGCAAATGCTATATCTATTATAGAGACGGTCATGAACGGCACTGATAGTGAGAAAAATGTGACACGCTCTGCCAACAACAAAACCAAAATCAAAGTAAAATATTGCTCCACATGAAAGCGTTGCATATCAACCACTGCATAATCCGACGCAGCGAAGACCTCTGAGCCGGTGAATATGTTTTACATCATTTCTTGTTTGTTTGCTACATTTTTTTTCGTTTACTGTTGATTTACATTTTCCATACGCTTCAATGCAGTCTCGTGACTGCGAAGTAATTTCAGGGTAACGTGGGTGGGTTGTGGCTTGCCGGTGTTGGGAGCTGATGACATTGATGTTTGCATTAGCTTGACAGGGGCTGAAGTATTCTTTGGCATTATGAATTATACACCCTTTCGCATGACGTACGACATCTACATATGTATGTATATGCTTGTACTACATACACGCATTAGCTAAAAATATCTGTGCATTTGCTGTTAGTGACCTTGGCAAGGATGTTGTCATTCAAGGCTATTGATATTTCACGTTTTTTGAGTAAACATTTAAGCCTTATTGCACATCCCTACCCATCTAAAAATATTCGAGTAAACTTAAATCT